ATGCATATAGAATGGACTACAGGAGTACTTGTGGCACCTTAGAGACTAACAGATTTATTTGAGCATAAGCTTTCGTGGACTACAGCCCACTTCTTCGGATGCATATAGAATGGACTACAGGAGTACTTGTGGCACCTTAGAGACTAACAGATTTATTTGAGCATAAGCTTTCGTGGGCCAAAACCCATTTCATCAGATGCATGGAGTGAAAGATACAGTAAGCAGTGTATATATATGAAAAGATGGGCAGTATTTCATATATATACTGCTTACTGTATTTTTCACTCCAGGCATCTGATGAAGTGGGTTTTAACCCACGAAAGCTTATGCTCAAATAAATCTGTTAGTCTCTAAGGTGCCACAAGGACTCCTCGTTGTTTTTGCTGATACAGACGAACACGGCTACCACTCTTAAAAGATAAAGCAGTTTGGGGTGGTTGTGGTTTTGTTTGTTTCGTTTTTAAGAACATAGCAACACTGTTTCAGTGTTGTAAGCAGGATACAGAAAGTAATTCTTCCATTCTCCTGAACTCTGATAAGGCCTCAACTGGAGTATTGTGTCCAGTTCTAGACACCTCGCTTTGGGAAAGATGTGGACAAACAGGAGAAGCCCAGTGGAGGACTAATCCTTAATCTAAATGATTAAGAGTATAGAAAACAACTTACAAGGAAAAACTGAAAATATTGGGTTTCTTTAGTCTGAGGAAGAGAAGACTGGGAGCGGGGGGCCATGAAAATCTTCAAGTATGTAAAAGGTCATTATAAAGAGGAGGGTGATTTTTTTTTTCCCTAACCACTGATGACAGGTCAAGTAGTAACAGGCTTAAATTGCAGCAAGGAAGATTTAGATTAGATATTAGGAAAAGCTTCCTGTCAGGGTGGTTAAGCACTGAAAGAAATTCCCTAGGGAGGTTGTGGAATCTCCATCAGTGGAGGTTTTTAAGAACAGGTTAGACAAACACCTGTCAGGGATGATCTAAATAATACTTAGTCCTGCCTCATTGTAGAGGGTATGGACCAGATGACTTCTCAGGGTCCCTTCCTGTTCTACATTTCTATTATTCTATATTTCAGAAGCTTGGGAGAATTGCAATATGGTTTTAAATTATTTATCTTCTGCGGCCTTAATAATGCAAACTTCTCATTCAATTCTAGTGATCTGTCTTTCAAATACATTTTTTCTCCTTAGCACAATGGCAAAACTCTCTCCACAAAGTGAAAGTAAATAGTTACCATAAAACAAAAAGTTAGAAGCGACATGCAGTATAACAAGTGGTTTCACATACCTTAAAGCCAAGACAGCAAGGGTCACTGCAAGACACCTTTTCATGAAGGCATATTTCTAGTCTTGAGTGCAGATCTCTAGATTAATCTGCTGCAAAAGGAAGAAATCATTCTATTACATTTCACAACAAATTTCATAAGGAAATCCAAGAAATTGGAGACAGTTCAGGTAACACCCCTGGGAATGATAAAAGGATTAGAAAACCTGCCTTATATTGATGACAACATGCTCAATGTATTTAGCGTAACAAAGAGAAGGTTATGAGGTGACTTGATAACAGTCTATTAGTAACTATATGGAGAACAAATATTTGATAATGGGCTCTTATACCTATCAGAGAAAAGGTATTACAAGATCCCATGGCTGGAAGTTGAAGCAAGACAGATTCAGACTTGAAACAAAGCATACATTTTTAACACTGAAGAGGATTCACCACTCAAACACTTTACAAAGGGTTGTGGTAGATTCTCCAAGATGGAAATTTTTAAATCAAGCTTGGATTTTTTTTTAAAAAAGATCTACTCTAGGAATTATTTTAGGGAAGTTCTATGGTCTTGGAATCCATGAATCTAGTTACCATTATACAGTAGTATTTAGAAAACAAACAAACAAACAAAAGATGCTGTTTCCTTGATATCCAAAACCCCACACAAGATATATTTATGAAGGCTTTGTTACTACTTTTCAAATGGTTTGCATTTAAACAAAGAGTTTTCACCTACCTGAAGAACTTAGAGCTAATTTTTATTAAAAAAAACCCAAACAAACAAAAACCTTCTATCCATATGATCTAATAAATAGGACCCTGGGTTAAGAGGCAAAGAGGTAGGTTCCACTCCTAGCTCTGTTATTAACCTGCTAAAGAAAGCTGGGCAATCTTTCGGTGCCTTGTTTACGCCATCAATGAAATAAAGATAAAACTACTTATCTTCCTACACTGGGCACTTAGGCACTTGAGACTTCCTATCACACCTGGCAGAGGTCATGCCTGGCACTTAATCTGACATGGTTAATAGCATTCCTTTTCATTTGTGCTGGACCACAACAACTTTGCATTCCCTGCTGCATATCACATATGGACTTGTAGGATCAAGACCTCCTTGCCCACCAAAAAACAAACAACCCACATTTGTTCACTAAAATCTAATTTAGAACCCATTTTCCCCTACAAGCAGGATGAGACTTGTTTAATACATGAGAGAGAGGAAAAATAGCTGTATGGACATCCAGGTGTTCTCATGTCAGATCAAACTGTCTATATTTATTTCACAGCCCATTTATCAGGGTATAAAACTTTGCAATCGCTTTTGGTGGATGACTTCTTTATTATTAAGTGGTGTTTTGTTAAAAAGAGCATTTCTTATATAATCTAGCACGTCAGCAATACAACTCTCACTCCAATTCCACAGCCAGCTCTGAGTACTAACCATTTATTCTCTAATATTTCACATATTCAAACTTAAAATTAATTATAAATGCAATCTGTCATCTGTAGCTCACCAATCTCCCCCCACATTCCAGAGAACTGGAATGTGGGATTCCATACTCCTCCATTGGCCAACCTTGTCACAACCAGTGCATTGAAATAAAAAAACACCCCCCCCACTCCGTGTGAAATAGAAGAGCATTTATTTAATTGTTTCTCAAAAACATCACACACAAAAGCGAAATGTCTCACTCAGTAATGAGAAGGCAGGTTGGTGCAAACTTTAACAGAGCTGCTACTTGTCCTGCAGGATCTTGGTACTGATGTACTAACTGTAAACTAATACAAAGATACTACAGATAATAAAGTAATCCTGCTGCTGCTACACAATCACTGGCAGTGTAATATGCATTAAATTAGAAAGAAGGATCAATAGTAACTGAGAGGTGCTTATTATAATCCACTGAAAACACAGTAGCATGCTGGTAATGAAAAGGCTGTATTAGAAAGAAGGGCAGTATCACCTCCTTCCAAGGCCTGCCATTGAAATTCACATTGGGAATCCATAAAACCATGAGAAATGCTCAATTTTAATTGCAAAGGCTTCAAACATCACCAAGCAAAAGAAAGAAGTAATGCAATAAAACAGGACGACTGCAATGTGGGCCCATGAAAATTGTACCATTTGTACAACTGTATTGATAGAACATAATGACTATGTTTAGCAGTCACACTAGAATCAAATATTCTGCCCATTGGAGAGAAAAAAAAAAAAGAAAAGGATGAGGCTCTCTAGATATGCTAGGACTGTATTCAAAAAGTCAAAGGGGAACCTGGTTTTAAATAAAAGAACCAAAGCTGTAAGGTTCATAGGAGCACCTAGTGCCAAGTTTAGCAGCCCCCTGGACAGCCCCTTGTGAGGTAGGGCATTTCACAGCTGGGGAACTGAGGCACAGAGAAATTAAGCGACTTAACCAAACCACACAGGAAGTCTGTAGTGGAACATGGAATTGAACCCAGGGCTAGAGTCCTAGCCTAGTCCCCTAACCAATAGTCCATCCTTTCCCCTTAGCTAGTGTATCATTTGCTTTGCACTGAAAAAGCCGAAGATGAAGTTGTCAAGTGCAGTAGCAGAAAGCCAAGCAGCCCATCAGTCACAGTGCATCTTCACTACAAGGGACTCAGCCTGGCAAGCCAGACAATAAAACAAAACACTGCTGCCTTCAAAGAAGAGAAAGAAACAGCATTAGCTCCATAGTTAAACCATATTTTGCCCTTCAAAGTAAGACAGAAAGATAATTAAGGTGACAATGAATATCAAAGCCGCAGAAGTTTAAAACGATGAAGCAAATGATATTTCATTTGGGGGGAAAATAATTCCTTGACAGCCACAAACACATATTGTACTTTTTTTTCTTAAAAAAAATAAGAGACTTTGAAATGATAATGTCTGTAGTGGTGCATATTACACTCATTACTTATTGGGCCGGATACAAAAACAGCTCTTTCCCTGGGCCATCAATAGGTATGTTTGCTCAGATAAAAGCTTCACTTTAGCAAAGCAGTTTATCTGTCTTACAGTTTTATTGCTTAAAAGATGAATTATAAGATTAAATCCACCTTACTACTAAGCCCTAGAGAGAGCCACATTATAAATATCTCATAAGAGGTTAGGGGTTTGGACATTAATAGTTGATATTAGAAATCTGAGACAGGCATTCCAAAAAGGCCTTAATGGTAATGGGGCTTACACACACGCATCAAAGGAGAACAGCCACTAAGTTATGGTGCTAGCCAGTCATGATACATATTTTTGTAAGAAAACCAATACTAACCAACTATTAAATAGGAGTATGCTCTAAATCAAGGGTTCTCAAACTTCATTATCTTCTGACAGCAAAAATTACTATATGACCCTGGGAGGGAGGACTGAAGCCTGAACCCGCCCGAGTCGCGCCACTGGGGCGGGGGGGGAGAGAGGGGAGGAGAACCAAAGCGCAATTCAGCGGAGGGTCCCTGTCTCTCTCGGAGGGAAGGACCTGCCGCTAAATTGCCACCGAAGAAGAAAGCGGCACGGTGGAACTGCCGCCTATCGCGATCACAGTTCTTTTTTTTTTTTTTTCTTTTTTTCCTTTTTCCCTTCTTCCGCCGCTTGGGGCGGCAAAAACCCTGGAGCCAGCCCTGCAGGGTTGCAACCCACTTTGGGGTCCCAACCCACAGTTTGAGAACCCCTGTTCTAAATAATTTTCCTGAATACATCCACTTAGAAGAAATAAAAAATAATTAGGTCCAAGACATCAAAATAAACTGAACCCCATTTTGCAAAGGTTTAACCATGTGTGTAACTTTGCTTGTGTGAATAGTCTTGTTTAGGTCAATAGAAATACTCGTATCAGTAAATATCTTCATATGCTTAAGTGCCTGAAGTGCCAGGGAGCTAAGATTTACATTTGAACTAAAAGAATTAACAGGTTGGAAGGTGAATTGTAAAGTCCACAATCTCTGACTGCAAACAGGGTAAGGTTCTATTCTCACTTCAGTTGTGCCGTGGACTCATTCTGTACTTGGGTAAGTCACTTGATCTGTTTAAGTTTCTCCATTTTTAAAACGTGGACAGCTCTACTTAACCTCAGAAGCCCCTCAGACATATTTAATTAATCTTATGGAAAGTTTAAGGGATCCTTAATGAAAGATGCTAATGTGTTATTAATATAAAACTAAATCTCCTCACAGATTGAGGAGGTAGTTTGAGGCTGCGTGGTCTAGTGGATAGGGCACTGGGCTGAGACAAGTTCATCTCTGTGCTTCTGTTTTCCCTCCTTTCTCTATCTTGTCTATTCACTCTATAGTAGAGCTGAATCAAAATTTTAATACCTAAGGTTTTCCTGATGACAACTATAGCTTTGTCAAAACCAAAATGTGTCACAGGAAAATGTCCTTTCTGAGAAAAACCCTTAGGTTTGCTGTAGGAAGTTTTGAAACAAGAATAGTTGGTTCCCAACCGCCACTTGGAAAACCAATTTACAAGGAAACTGATTTTTAATTCAAAATATCTTGCCAGAGAAAAATAAATCTGCTTTTGGGGGCAGGGATGCTCTCTTACTGTGTGTTGGAACAATGTCTAATTCCATGAGGCCCCAGTGTTGGTTGGGACCAATACAAAGCTACTGTACTACAAATAGTAATATAATTTTGTACTTGGGAAAATGTCAGACCTGAGAGTTTTAAACAGTGCAAATGTGATTCAACAATATTCGCTCTGGGTTTGCCTTTTCATCTGATTTCACAGGTAGCTAATGGCTGCTTTGCCTCAGATTAAGATAATTTAACTACTAATAAAAATCATTAAGCTTATTAGAGCAATTTTTTTTTTGGTCTTGGAGATCCTTATCCTTCACCCAGAAGTACTGTGATGAGCATAGTATAAACGGCACGGTGAAGGATGATAAGTTAAGACTTCTGGCAAGCATAACATTTTACAACACTCTAGGGGTCTAGTAGCAGGACCTTGGGAATCCTCCAGTATTAAGCTTTATTTTAAATATACGCTGTGCAATCTGTTGCATTCAGAGCCAGAATGTGTTCTGATGCTGTGAACTGTATTCCCCCAGGATTCCCTAAAGCTGTCTCTGATATTCACTGGTTTTGTAAAGCTTAAGTACTA